TCCATAACCTTTCCTAAAGCCTGCCTGTTCTCTTGGTTGATAGAAATCTAGTTTACGTTCGAGACGTTTGGCAATGATTTTGGTAAACAGCTTATACAAGTGACAAAGAAGGCTTATCGGTCTATAATTTTCAAGCTCGGTGATATCGCCCTTTTTATGGAGAAGTATCGTTATGGCGTTTGAGACGGGATTATTCCTTTTTCAAGGCATAGATTAAATAAGTCTTTAATCCATTTTAATAGTGTTCCTCCTCCGAGTTTTACAGCCTCAATCGCTATGCCGTCCTCGCCCGGGGCTTTGTTATTTTTCATTTCTTTTAAGGAGTTTCTGATTTCTTCTGTAGTTATTTCCGGTATATCCTCTGATCCCCTGGTTAACTATCTTTTTGCACAGACGTTATTGACTGTTGTATGTTTGTTGGTGATTACTTGTGTATAGTTTAGTGTAAAAGTTTTCTGTTACTTTCAACAGCCTTTCTCTATTTGTTGTTACGACCCCTTGATTGTCTTTTAGTTTAAAGATCTCTCTCTTTCCATTTGATAGTTTTCCCCGCAACACCTTCATACTTTTATTCTCTTCTAACGCTACATTGGATACTCTACACTAAATTAAAAAAAAACATTAAAGACTAACGATACAGTCCTGGATTTCATAAACATTCATAACGAAAACAGAACTAACGATATTAAAGAAAACATCTGTATTACTCAAGTATACAAACGGAAGAAAAAAATTGTAAAAATACCCTTGTACTTTGTATTGTCTCCCTTGGTTGCTACAACTGCCTGTATATTATGTCCGTTAATAATATTAATATCATATTGCGTTATGCTTTCCCATTCTTTTTTAAGAACCAAGCGAAGTTCATTTAATGCAGCTGGTACTGCTTCGCGACGTTTAACCCTCCTGCCAAGCATTTACCAAACGTCGAATATGATGGGCAGTTCATAGTAGTATATGGTTCACAATAATCACCAAAACCACCTCGTCATATTGAAAAATAACATCAAAAAGTAATGATAATTGAAAAAATTGCAAATTGTTGGTGGCTACCTAGACGAACCATGACTCAATGAAGAAAATGTTAAGGAAATCATATATTTTAGAACCATTATTATAGAACCATTTTATACATATTTTTTACTAATTTTTAGAATAAATATCCTTCCTTTCTGTTTTCTACACGGTATATGAACAACAATAATTCTTGTACATACATTCCCAAAACCTACCTTTTATGATAGACGAGTACAATATTCCAGAAACTAGCTTCATTCGAGGACAGTCGAACGACTTTAAAGGTCCATTAGGACCCAAAATGACTGACCACAATGTCCACAACCGCTCCATTTGTGTAAAGGGCGGCCAAAACAAACTACCTTCATGATACATAACGAAAACTCGACCTTAATCACCCTTTTAATGGGAAAATGGCTGTCAAAGAGAATGAATACCTCCCTAAAATTATTCTAATTGGAATAATTGTCAATGGGGATGATGCTAAAAGGGTTGTAGAGGGATGACCGATGGTTTAGAGTAATAATTTGTTATCTAGTTAAGACTAGGGATGTAAATGATACATCGATGTTTCTAAAATATCGATATTTTAATAGGAGAATATCGATGTTTACCATCGACGTTCAACTATTGTAAATTATCAATTTATAAGTGATCAGGGCTCAGGGCTTTGAGAAAAGCCAGTATCTGAGACGGTTTTACAGGAGTTGTTACTCGCAAAAAAAACCTCATAGGCGTGTTTCTAAGATAGACTACCAGTTGAAATATCTGCACTTATTTCGGGAACACCCTGTATAGTAACTTTAAATAAATGAAGAAATTAGAAAAAGCGAGAAAATTTTAAAATTTTTCTTTTTCGACAATTTTTTTTACGCATCTTTAGTGATATAAATATAAAAAAACAAGACTCATATACAGGGTGTCTCAGAAAGTGCAAATATTTTAACTGGTAGTATAGTTCAACCCCAGAAATACGCCTATGAGGTCTTTTCGCAAAAAAAAAAATTTGAAAAATTTTTGGAATTTTTTTTAGTTTTTAGTTAAAAAACATAATTTCTTGATAATATGGCAACATTGGTATTATATTAAATTTACAAGATAGAAAATCCAGAAAAGATCCAGTGGTTCTCAAAATTTTAGCAAAAAATCATTTTTTTTTTGGAAATTTTCAAAGTGAAAAAACTCCGTGATTTTGGACTTGAAAAAACGATAAAGAGAAAGTATGTTTCTTTTATCGAGATCTACCACCCCCTAAAATACTTGCACTTATTTCTGGGACACCCCGTATTATTATATACAGGGTGATTTCATTGCAAAAGTTTATGGTATAGTAGGTTTAAGGATAAATAAAAATATTCTTTTTAATATAATAAACATGTTTATTGTTTAATCAATGCATTCTATATACAATAACAACTACATAGTACCTATTTATCATATACGTACAACAAAACATAAAAACCATTGCACAATTTGAAATTTTCTTCCATTCTATATGTTTCTGTATTAAATCAGTCCTAAATTTTTACACAGCAAAGAATGTTTTATATCTATATATCCTACTTAATAAAAAAATTCTTAATCCTATATAACTATCCTCTTAATAAAGCTGAGATTATACCGTGTCATTTAATAAAACGATGTCATAGTAGGAGTTTAAATAACATTTTCTATTGGAGGTTTACTATAGGTATCTGTGGTAAATTTACTTAAATTTTATATCGAACAAAAGAAAACAAGTACCTATTTTTGGATGCATTTATATTTTTTAATGTTTTTTGAATAGACCATATAATTTTTCTTCACCTACTGTGACGTTCTTTTTTTATTTAATTCTGCGGTATGAAACAAATTATAGTCTACCTATATCCTCAAGTTTTTTACTAAAAAAGCTCAGGAATACCTAAAAATTTTTTCGATATACATTCATACTATTATTATAATAAATATATACAAAGGGTTTTAAAATTTACAGGATACGTTTAATGATATGATGCCCATATTTACTAAAAATACATTATATACATTTGTACAAAAATTTTAAAATAAATTTTATGAATTAATGATAATAAATAATAACATGAGATCACAAAGAGAATTTTACATGGTTTGTCCAGATTTATTTATCTCTTGGACAATTATATTTACTTATTTATATTTATCTCTTGGATCTCTGGACAAACCATGGTTGATATTTTAATCTGTAGCACATATTTATAAAGACTGTTTAGATTGAATGCATCTGTATACTGTAGGCTGTAGGTATGTCTACTACAGGGTAATTCTGCTACATATTATGTCTGTTATTTTACTTTTAAAATATAAACATGTGCTATATTTGATTTCAGAAAATATACAAATAGAAGTCTCTAAAACTGTCATTAACTACCCAATGGCATGTCATCTTCATCACAAGCCACCATTACTGTGATTATACAACCCTTGTGCCATTAGTTGAAGTGCCAAAGGGTTCTTTTGGCCAGAGGATTTCTTGATTTTGGCCC